AAACATAATCATTAGGGAGCTTAAGCAGCGACGTCTTTGAGCGACGCACGTCAACCGGAAGTGAGGTATTTTCCCTCTTAACATGCCTTGATGATATAAAATTTGTATTCATTTAGCTTCTTTACTGTTATAGAGGCGATTTGACTGAAAATTTGCGCGAAACCACCGTCAAAAAATGAAAAAAGGCCACTTCCGGTTGACGTGCGTCGCTCAAAAACGTTGTTGCTTAAGCTCCCTATTGTGCCCCGGCATTCACCACAAAAATGTTGTCTCGGGTCGTTCTTTAATATCAATACAAGTTAAGAAGACTTGCTAGTAACGTGTGGAATTCCCAATATTAAATGAAATTAATGATGACATCTAAAACATTGTCAACTGTTTGCTTTTTAACAGTACCTGGTCCGGGTTGTTCAAACCTGGGTTAAGATAACCCAGGCGAGGAGGGTTAGTGCGAAATTTTAACTCAGATGTGAAACCTTCATTTTGTCAACAAGTTGATGATTGGACGCTCTCAAAAATAACTCAGAAAATTATCCAAAGAAATTTTTTTTAACAAAAGAAAAAGAGACCCAGCGCTAATCGGCCTTCGAACAACTGCGTCCTGTAGAACATCTATTGCGCCAGTAAAACAAAAAGTTCTTTTTACACGCCCGAAGGACTCTGGCAAGTGTCTCCTCAAATAACAAGCACTTGGGACGAACAATACGATATCAAGCTGATCACTAGCCTTCAAAACTTTTTCATTATCATACACAGTTTAAATCGAGGTTTCTCTGTACGCAACCCTTAACGTTCAAAATGATAATCATAGTTATCTATCGCAAGAACCATCCACCTTTTCCCCTCAACTGCTACCTGTACACCTAGCAAACATATCGAACGCACTCTCCTAAGCTCCGATTACTCCCAGTAATAATAATAAAAGCTTTATTTATACTGGAGATATCTATCAGCATTATACAAAGCTGGTCTTAACAAGATGTCCAGTAAATCAAATTTATAATAACATTATTCTAAATCACATTTCAAAGACGCTAAAAACTGCCAAGAAAAGACTGCAAACTAATTAAAAATATTAAGAACCACTAAAAACTATTAAAAACACTAAGAAAATCGTTTGCTTTGAGTTTTGGAGTAATAATGAATGATCAAATGACATTGAAGTCTAAGAACACGGCTGTAGTGATCAGCCCTTTATCCTTTGCCCATTTCCATTCGTCGACCACTTAAGTAACGCGGCAATGGTTGAAGAGTTCTTCGAATATGCAATTGTTCTTTTGTGATAAGGCCGTTTTCTCTGGCATATGATTGTAACTGTTCATTTGCAAACTGCTCATGGATTTTTGACACTACAGGAGGAACGGAAATTGGCCTGTAGTTTTCTCTGTCAAATTTGTCCTGCCCTTAAAAATTAGTGCGATTCTTGCAATTTTTAGTCTGTCTGGAAACGCCCCGGATTCGAAGGAGAGGTTCATCGAAGGTGTAAGCAGCCTTGAACAAGGACCAGCAGCAGCCTTAAGAATTTTAGCTGGCTACAGAAAGTGTTTTTTAGTGACATGATTGTGATAACGATCAAAGACTATTTCTCTCAATTCAATTCAGTTAATTTATTCATTCATTTATTATTCACACTTTATAAAATATTTACATTTTAGAATAATATTATACACACTCAGTGATCTTGGTGGTTTAAGCAATCTGATTGGTTCGCTATCTCGGACTATTCAACAATATTCACCTCCTAGCGAGTGGATAATGTGTGAGCTCGGTTTTTTCCCCATTTTCTTAGAGAAAGATCTTTTAAAAGTCGACAAAATCCTAGGGTTGACTTTTTTTTCAGGCAAGAAAAGATTTCGAACGATTCAAAACGGCGTTTTTCCATTTACTGTTGTTGAGTTTTGTGGTCGATGTATTGTTTACAACTCCCGTTTATTCGCCTAAAAGAGGCCGTTTCGTGAACTCAGCGTTTCCTAACAAGAAAAATTTGGCCCAAAAACGAAGTTTATTTATGACAAACAAATTTGAAAGCAAATGTTTGCAGAAATTCTACGTTTCAAGTAAACACGAGAAAGATTGCTACATGAAGACGACGTCTTACCTCGAGAACCGAATCGCCATTTTTGTTAGCACTTCATGCGAAGAACGACACAACAAACCTTTTCGGCTATAAACTTGGCGAGTCAACAGAAAACAACAAACCTCTTCTTTTCCTCTCAGGTAGGGAAACAATTCAAACTTTTAGCGGTTCCATTTAAGTCATTACGCTGTTGTTTGCAAAGTGATAAACTTGTGAATTGCCTTGTTTGAAAATTCTACAAAGATCTATTTTTAAACTGTCGCGTGTTTAGCTGACCTGATCTGCCAATCAAATCGTACTTTTTAATGGCTTCCTCTCTGATTTTGTTGAGATCACTTCGTGTGTATATACTAAGACAATTATTCTTTTCAATCTCGGTGAATAGTGGCTTTAGGAATATTTACCTCGCCACTTCGTGGCTCGGTAAATATTTTGCCACTTTTCACCTCGATTTCAAAGAATAATTGTTAAATATATAGTAAGGTAGGAATACACTAATAAAGGAGAAGAAGAAGGAAAAAAAGAAAATTAATGGCTTGGTTAGAAGTGTACGTTGGTCAGGGGAGCTTAGCTTTCGAGCTAACCACTGCTATATTATGATTGGAAATACATAATAAATGTGCGCTTGGTGCCATAGCAACTATGGACGATTATGCCAGCAGTCAGGTTATGTGAGATAGTCATATTACAATTGTTACCTTTGAGAGTTAACTGGAATTCGCTTATATTCTTTTTTGAACTTATGGTAGCTAAGTGTTTTTTATCTTAGTAGAAATCTCTTCCCAAGTTTTGGTTATGGCAAACTTAAATGTGTGTTCGCCGTAATTTGACCTTACACGTGGTACACGAAAGTTAAGATTTGAGGCATATCTGGTATTGTGTGAGTGAATATCAGACACCTTTACGAGGTAGTTTTGAAACACTTTAGCGATACTGGCTTCATTTTGTGACATTTTGTGAGCTAGCAAGGAGATTTTGAGTTTAAAAATGCTATCTATGTTAAGTATATCTATAGAAGTTTTAGGTAGGGTGCAGTACTTTCTCTATTATGGCTAACAAATATGCAGCGTATACATTTATTTTGTTTTGTGTGAACTTTGGTTAATCTACTTGGGTATGTGTTTCCCCAACTCATAATTCCATAATGAAGGTAGGGGTAGATAAGTGAGTAATATATTTGTTTGAGGGTGTTTAAAGTTACCTCATTAGGGGTAAATTCATAGTTAGATATGCTTTACTGTTAAATGCTTATGACGAATTTAGTTTTATGGCCAAGTCCACGCGTATCCGAATATTTTTGAAAACGGAGTGTTTTTTCCTCCGTTTTAGCCTTTGCCCTCCGTACCAAACATATATGGAGTTTTCGGGCACCGAAAAAGCCTGTTTTCAAAAATGGTTCCAGAGTGGAGATTTTTTTTAAGCGCCGGCTTCTCGTTTACGTGTGGGCGGACGAAAACGAAGGGTTTCGAAGACGATGATGTCATAGATCATAAACTACTAGCATAAACCACTGTGAAAAAACCATAATATTCTTTTAAATGCTTCTTTGGGTAGTTTTCCAGGTAAATCTCACTTTTGTTACTTTGCAAGATCTGCACCGTGCCATGCGTAAGCGTCAGGGACCCTTGCCTGCATGCAGACGTCTCCTATTTCAGAAAAAATAATAATAATAATAATAATAATAATAATAGTAATAATAATAATAATAATAATAATAATAATAATGATTTGGAGGTAGCTCAGCCACAAAGTGGTTCTTCGACTACCCGATTCCTGATCGAATTAGAATTTGGAAATGTTGGTTTTTGAGGAGAGAGGAAAACCGAAGTACCCTGAGAAAAACCTCTTGGAGCAAAGGAGAGAACCAACAACAAACTCAACCCACATATAGGAGACGTCTACGCGCAGGCAACAGGAGCACCCAATGGATCTGTTCCTCAAACTATATGCTCTACAGGAAAATTTTTGCAGGCTGGGAGATTGTAAAAAAATAATTGGTCTTTAGAAGGAAAGTGTTCATGGGAAACGAACAATTCAGGGTGTCTGAAGGGATTTGATTTACAAAATATCTGCTATGTGCTTGTTCTCAGAAACCTCTTCCCCCTCCCCCTCCCCCCACTGAGGGGGTTAATTTCACCCTTCACCTCTAGGACACACCCACATTCATTTGTGCCCCCCCCCAAAGGGTTGGATGTTGCCCTTTGACCACACCCATACTGGCCAGTAATGTCTGGAAATAAGTCTGCTGGGAAACTTCCCAGTAAGTCTGGTTGTAGGTTGTACGTGTACCTTGCAGGCTGGGAACTCTTCCGTTAGTCTTGCCGGGAGTGAGGAACAGAAACATTTTTCCCAGAAATGTCCCAAAATGCTCAAAATGGCTTCAGAAAGCTTTATTCACGCTTTGTTGTTGTTTTCAGGTCTTTCTCCCAAAATTTCCCGTTGGGTGCCAGAGAAGCTTCTTCAAAATTTGCATTTCCAGCGCGTTGACATACGGGCGCACAAGTGCTGACGTTAGCTTGATTGCAGTTTAGCCCCTGCTTTCGTTGGGTTCAGAAACCTACCTCTTCAAGCTTAAATCATTCCTTATTTTTCATAAAGAAAAGAAAGCCAAATAATTCCTCTGCGGTGAAGCTGAGCCTAGGATAAAAAGAGTATTATGGTATTTTTTGAAATGGGCTATTACACACGCCCTAGAAGGAATGCTATCGTATTTCCATCGTTTTAGCGTTTTCATGTGGACGGGCGAAAATGATTCAAATACGCTACGTGTGGACGCGTATTTTTTAGGGGGAGGAAAAAATCTCAGTTTTCAAGGACAGGGCCTTTATATGTTAAATTCCGGTGATTTGCACGCTGACCTCTTCCTTATCACTGCTCAACACTTCCATGACCAGTTGCAGACTTTCTCGGCGCCTTAGCATTTAACCGAACCAGGCGCGGTTGCTGTGTACATTAACTCCACATTCCCTGGTTGCTGTGATAATGATGATAGAGGCCTGGGTACTTAATCCGTTCAACTTCCAACTGAGCATTCACGACGCGGTCCACTAGGTCCCAGTCTTCTCCACCCCATTTGTACTTGAATTCCTCGGCATTCATTCCTTTCAAAATTAAGCAGTTAAAAGTTACGATTGTACACAATGACAAGACAAACGGCTACAACTCTCTTATCTTGCAAACCACCCCCGCCCCCTTCAAATACAAACCGCTATTAGACTTTCAGGACATGCATCGCATAACAGCGCTCTCACGATGCGCCAATGCAAACACAGAATGTTTGACGCCAATCGTAACAATAAATCACACTGTTCTATTTGATCCAAACTTTTACATGCTTTATTGTATTAAAATTACTCGCATGTTATACCGATAAGTAAATTAGGAAAATTACTGACTTAGTGTACATAAAAAACGTGCGAGACGGATGTACGTATTAAACAAATCTAATGTATTGAAAACGAATACAACGTCAAGTGACGGCTTCCATGCAAAAAATTGGAAGGTCACCGGTTAAATCTTTCCGCGCGTTAACCTCTGGAATATGTTTTACGAATAGCCTTTGTCCTTACTGACTAACTATGGTCGAGCCTTCAAGCAAGTCAGAGCGTCCCGGAGAGCTCGCTAGCAGGCTAACTGTAGTTTAAATAACAACTGATAAGTTTAAACAGGGAAATTCCTTGGATCTTTCTACATATAGCCTGCGTCGTAGACATAATAAATCCACGGTTAGTAACGTCTGCGAAACAGCGCCGAAATCCTTGTTCTGGGACCCCAGCTATGTACCAGCATTTGAGTACCCGCCATGATTGGCCTTTTAAAGAAGACACACCGCAAAGTTCCGAAAGTAACCACCCTCGCTACTTTCGGATTTAGCAGCCTTTTCCTATCGCTATTTCCGGGTAGCTTAAACCTGTATCGTTCATGGGCCGTACGAAGTTACGATAATAACATCGCGACAATTGTGAAAACATCCACACTTTTTATTTGGAGAAACTTATTTCTATGTTATTGCTTTTTAAGAATTGTTTGATTACGGGGTGGATATTCACAGACGAAAGGAAGACTTTTTGAACATAAAAAAGATGTACTGCCCTGTGCGTTTTGAGTTACATAAGGGAATGTCAAAGATTTGCCAGTAAAGTTGAAAGGAAATTAAAAAGGGATTTTCGCTAAGTTGTTGACTCCGTTGTGGGCCCAGAACAAAGACCTCGGCGAACAAACGTTATTTACCGAGGTTTGATCTCGTCTCCAACGCATAAAGTCATGTAAAAAATACACTTCATCGTCTAGTAGCTCAAAATGAAAATTTGACTCTCTGCAGTTTTCTTATTTTTGGATCGGAGCCAAAAAAATATTAACATGTATGTCACGTGATTCAACAGTGACGGTATTAAAATAACGATTTTCTTTGAACTTACCGCCAAAACGTATCCAGTCCGATTTATATACAGCAAGAAGACCATAACCGTTCATCTGCCAAAACCCTTGATGATCAATACATGTACTTTGACAGTGTAGACGTCCCACTGCGGGAAAGAAAGCGATTCTTCCTTCTATGGTGTTCTGTTGAAAATAAGGAAACTAAACTTGATCTTGTTACTTAAACGTAACAAGAATTCTGACAGTGTGGTCGGAAGGAATTTGGTATAACCCATTTTTCAACAGAAATGACCACAACATTTTCAGTACTCTAAAATGCAACAGACACTCGGCAGTTAGATTTTTGGCTACGAGTAGACCAAAACGCTATATTAGTATTTCGAGACAAAATAACAAGTTATCCGCAAAAGAAGTAGTGTATCTTGTTATGGAGCGTTTTCACTCACGAGGCAAACATCTTTGGTAATTTAATGGAACAGAATAAAAGATGTTTTCATGAGAAAAGAGTTCAACGTCCACAGGATTGTCTTGGTACACCAACATGCAATGGCCGCGGTTTCATTGTTTTGCAACACCAATATGGCGTGACTCCAAGTGAAAACGATCTACAACAACACGTGTCAACTCACCTTTCGCACGCTGTCCAGAATGTCAACGGGCACATCGATATGAAGATCAAACAAGAACAACAGATCATGCGCACTTGGTACTTGCTCTACAGCTTTGTTCAGTGCCAGGGTCTTGTAAAATTTACCTGTCAAGTTGATAATAGTGTGCCTGCTCCTCAAAAGGGCACTGTCGAATGCTTTGGCCAAGTCGATATCTTGACTTTCAAAATCAGCAACAATAACGTGGAAGTTCTTATCACCCGTTAATAAGCTGGCAACCGTGAGACCATTGATGAAATGATAGACCCATCTTCCCTGATCTTTGACAGGGAGTATTATGTAAACCGTGGCGTTTCTGTTCCACTCGATTCCCTTGGGAAGACACAAACTGTTCGTTCCCTTTTTTTGATACACGTGCTCAGAGAAGCGATATGATTTCTCAGTGTGAGGAAGGCCAAGTTCCAGATCAACTGAAAAACGGTCCCCATAAACCGGATCTGGTTTTTGTAGAACTTTGTGAATTCTCTTCAAAGTGTAGTTCCTGAAAGATAAAGAAAAGGTGAAAAAAACGCTGGAAGAATTTGTAAACGTAGGGATCATCAATCAAGCGTCGATGCCCGGGGGGGAGTCCGCATACGAACGGGGTGGGGATGCTCGTCGGAAATTTTGAATTAAACCCCTTAAGGAGACCGATCTGGGCGTGGCCCAACCTTTCTTTGACCCCTAAAAGAGACCATGTTAAACACAGACAATATGAATTTTTTATATTTTTTCACGTGCAACCCTAAACGAAATATGATGGTGTTATGCCCAGAACACCCTACGTCAGATCAAAATCCGAAATTTACACCCCTAAGCGAGGCGAAGAGCATCCCCACCCCTCTCATATGCGGAATTCCTCCCCCGGGCGTCGATGTAAGAATTATTGTTACTTCACCGCAGAATACTTGTCAAGGAAAACATGCTATTGCCTTGTGTTACCACAAGCATTATGATCGCATGCGAAAAAGGCATGCAGCCGTTGCAATGAATGAAGTGGCAGGGGCTTGGAAAAATTGGGGCCTGTTTTTTTATGATTTATTTCAAGCATGTGCTCTTTCATCGCCTGTTGCATTTCTGACGGGCGATCACGTACACAAATCGGATTTGACCAGTTCGCACCTTCGGCTTGTCAACAAGAGATCTGGGTTACGAGATTATTGTCGCAGACAGGAGTCGACGTGACTTCTGGTGCTCAATTTGCCGCTCTGCCACTGTTTGATAAGGATTTTGAACTGCACGCGCCATCGTTACCGTCGTCGAGTTAATTTCATACCCAGATCTCTCGTCAACAAGAGATCTGGGTACGAGATAATCGTGCGTTGAATTTGCTTCATCTGTTTACTGTCATGCGACAACGTCCACATATGAAAGGGCCTAGTGCACACATACAAGGGCAACGAGTAAGCATTCTTGTTCACTTTCTTTGTGCCTTTTAGCTTCGCTGTCAGCTTAAAATGTCCGACTGAACGCTTTTTTCTTATCTCTTTTAGTGCGTCGAATGCTGGAGCTCCCCCATCAGTGTTGGCAGACTGGTTTTTGCAGCAGTAACGGCTAGTACCTTGAAAATGAAGCGTCTCCACCGAAATAAATAAATTTAAGCCGCACCGGTAGGCTTTAATACTTATAGCACTGAAGAAGACATACCAACTCCGCGGTCTCATGTGTTGGGCGGTGGGCAGTCTTACACCAAGTAGTACCCGGATTTACTGTGTTTTGGCTACAGGGTGGGCGCTTATTCGGGGGAGAGCGCTTGTTAGAGCATGGGCGCTTATCAGAGGAAATACGGTATATCTTAAAACATTTAACGAAGTTTTCATTTAACTTACTGTGAGGAACTGAGACGAAGTGCAGCAACCAGGCTATGCACGACGGACCAAATTACCTCGCTGTCGGCGGCTCGATTTGGACTGCCCCACCTCACTTTGGGGGCGTTTGACATCTGCGTATCGTCTGGTGGGAAAACACTGGATTCAAACACCATTGTCATGCCTTTATTGCGATGAACTTTAGTTCTTGCTACAAAACTACTATTGTAATAGCAGGAAGTTAGAAAATTAGCTTTCGAAATGAAAGGCAGAGAATAAAACTTGACAAATTTGCTGCTGATTCGGTCGGATTGTTTTTGAAACTCTTGCTGATATCGCTGCGAAAGCAGATTGTGGAGTGCTACTTTTTTCTTAGTTATATGCGTTGTATTCTGCAAAAATGGCGAGAGGTATTCTGAAGTGATGAGTCTAAAATCTTCATCTTTGTCAGATATAGTCCAAAATACACGTACGAACCCTTTGCCTTTGCCTTGTTGGTGTAAAACCTCGACGTAGTATTTCGTATTAGCTTGAAGATAGAGTGGCTTTTTGGTTTTCTGTTCAGGATATTTATCTAACTCGTCCTTACGAGTCCAAGCTATTTCTTTTTCACTAAACACACGGGCAACTAGTCGTTTATTTTCGGGATTTTCGTCTGTACTTATCCATAACTCCGAAGTGTCGTCAGAGGCGATCGCAAAACGATACAAACCATTACTTTGTGGATGTAAATATCCAAAGATTTTCTGACCGTAGTCCACGCTGTCGTCTTCAATCTGAAACTCGTTGATGAACTTCTCCTGATCAGGATATTTTGGAAAGAACAGTGACTTTTTTAAATATGTTACGTTTGAACCGCATTGCATTCGCCAAACGTGAACATTAAGAGCTGCGTTTGACACACGTACTGCAACAGTATTCTCGTCGCAAGAACAGAGATCCTGTTGGCCAGCGCCACTGATCATCCCTGGAAACGCGGAGAATTCCTTAACAGTATTGTCGCTATGTCTTCGCCAAAATTTACTGGAGAGTAGAATAAACGAGATCGAGCACACAGTTAGCGCGAAAATCAAACGCTTTACAGCTATCTGGAATCTTCGAGGTGTAAGAAGGCCTCGGAGATACATAACTCAGAGTAATATTAATAATGTTAGAGAAGTTACAACTTGGATCGAGTGTTGCTCAGGACCCCGCTTGTGATACAGTCCACAGTTCAGTTCAGTCAACTGAACCACCCAGCTCTCATGGCATGGAATGACACTGTAAAAAGATAGTTAATATAAATCAACTTTAAAACGTAAAAAAATATATTTACTTTCTTCACTGTTTTAGATCTTCGGATATATACAGTGTATATAAACATAATATGCACCTAATTACAATAACGGTTGTGATAGAAAAATGGAAAAGGGAAAAAAGGAAACGTGACTAATAAACCACTTTAGGGTTCATAAATTTGCAACATACCCGTCCAATGAAACAGGGCGCATAGGACTTATTCGTGAACTGACCTTGATTACACTGAAATCTTACAGTTGATAGAGACAGCGCGATTCGTCTTGTTTACTGTAGAATTAGAATCGAATACAGTCGAACCTGTCGAATACGAAAACCGAAGGGACAGAGCGAAGTGTCCGTATTAGAGAGGTATCCGTATAAAAGAGGTCACTATGATAACGTCGCTTTTATTACTCCACTTACAGTTTTAAGAGTTCAGTAGCTAGAGCCAGGATCACCCTCGTCTTTAAACCGCATTAAAAGTTATTAAGACAGAATCCACCAGGAATTGAGTAATTTTAATTTTCAGTGGACAAAAACCTTGTACCAGAATCAGTTAAAGAATATTGCATTCTAGACTTTTTTTACGTTTTTCAAGGGCTAAAGATGTAATTAGTCATTTGAAATAACACCAAAGAAAATTTCTCATGGGAGTCCGACAAAATGAATGTCAAATTTCACAAGAATTGTGAAAACACAAGTAAAATTCTGAAAATTTCATGTGTAAGATGTAATTTTGTGAAATTTGACATTCATTTTCTGATGACCAGCTACAACGAGGGTTCTTTCTTTCTCGTAGCAAGAGAGAGAACCCTGGGAACAAGGTTGGTCTTTGCCGAGGCTACCACTGTTGTTTCACGCGCTGAGAAAATTCGGACATTCAAAATGCTTTATTTTGAAAATGAAAGATGCTACGGGGCTGGAACTTGTACAAAGATTTACTTCTCGGGCACATTCAACCTCATGCAGATTAAAAAAACGTAAGGTCTCGCTGTTTTGATTTTAGAGTTTAATGACGTCATGGTGATATAAAACACATATTTGCTTGGAAACGTGGTTAATCGATGGGAAAGAAACTGCTTGGAGATAAGTGAACTAAAATTGTGGCGTTCACGGCTATCCGAAGGCGAGACATCTGAATTTCCGACTAAAACTGAACGGAAGAAATTGAGTATTGCTCGATTGATGTTATCTACTTTTTGAGGAGTATTTGCAACAAAAAAAACATCTCATCCTTAAACAAACAAAAAGTCTACGAGAGGGTAAGCGCGTTAAGAACTTGCAAATATTTTGAATAAATAATAAAACAATTACTAATGAAAAGGGAAATACTTTCCAAGCAACGTTATAAATGCGGTGGTCGCAAGAGAGGATAAAGCTTTATCCTCTCTTGGTGGTCGATATGTTTGAGATTTGCTAACCTCCCTGAAATTTTGTTACATTTTGTCAGGAACTTTACGGTAATGAATAAGAAACGCCATGGTCTCGACACCGTATCCGTGAACACATTTCGTGATGCCGTCAGTAAGCGTTAAACTTATTCTCAATCACTGCGCATGGTTACGAAAGAGAAGAGTTTTGGGGTGGGGAATCCTGGGGCAAGGCTGTATCTGATTGGTTTCAGTAAAAACAATAAAAGTGGTTCTGATTGGTCCACTCAAGTTAACTGCTGTGAATGCACCGTCTTTTAAATGTGAATGAATCACTAAACCAGAGAGTTTACTTGTCTTGCACAGACCATTATGACAAATTTCCCAACCCTTTCATATACTTCAACTAGGGAAACCCCTACCCTATGATTTACCTGAAGCCTGAGAAAGGTACCCCTTTCGGGCGGAGCCTCATCGTATAGGCCATCATAGATCGTGACTATGTTAACGCGGTTGTCTTTTTAGATCTAAAAAAGGCATTTGACACAGTCGATCACTCTATTCTATTATCCAAACTATGTTTATATGGAGTCAAAGGAATTGCCTACAAATTGCTTTCTTCTTACTTAGAAAATCGTACGCAAAAATGTTCTGTCAATGGTGTCCTTTCTAAAAGCTGCACTTTAACTTGTGGGATTCCCCAGGGGACAATACTGGGGCCTTTGCTGTTTCTCTTATACATTAATGACTTACCTAATTGTTTATCTAACTCGCAACCAAGAATGTACGCGGATGATACTGACCTAACATATGTTGACAATGACATCTGCTCCCTTGAGGCTTCTTTAAATCAGGACTTGTTAAATATAAACAATTGGCTCATTGCCAATAAATTAACTCTCAATATGACTAAAACTGAATTTATGTTAATCGGATCAAGACAAAAATTGAATAGTCTATCCGTTCTCCCAGACTTAGAAATTAATGGCACACAACTAAACAGAGTCGATTTTACCAAGTCTCTTGGTGTATTAATTGATGAAAATCTAACATGGAGTAATCATATCAACGCTATATCCAAACAAAACTCTTCTGGTATTGGATCTATTTTAATAGAACACAGCGACTTATTCGTTTAAAAACGAATAAGTCGCTGTGTTCCTCCTGCAACTCTACATAATATCTATCATGGGTTAGTTCAATCACACTTCGACTATTGTAGTGTTGTTTGGGGTAACTGTGCCAAAACATTATCTGACAAATAACAGAGACTTCAAAATCGTGCTGTCCGCGTCCTTACCCATTCTAGTTATGATGCTGACGCCAACCAACTGCTTAAAGAATTACGCTGGGAAAATTTAGAAACTCGACGTCAAAAACTAAAGGCTGAGATGGTCTACAAGTCCTTAAACGGCGTCGCACCGAATTATTTGTCCTCGAAATTCATTCAACGGAGTGATGTGATTACTTCTTACAATTTGCGCGATTCTGATAATAAGCTTGCAATACCATTGCCACGTACTAACCATTACAAAAATAGCTATAGTATACCTATAGTGGTGCAGTCCTCTGGAACACTCTACCCTTAGCTGCTAGGCAAGCAACATCTCTGACTGATTTCCGACGATTCATAATTAATTCCGACACGGCATTCATGTAAAACAAGCTTTAATTTAATTTACTTTTCCTTAATAGTTAGCAGTATTTTAAATTATAGAAGATTAATCTGTATACATAGTTTCGTATTTAAGTTGTAGCTTTATATTAAATGGTTAATGCCTGATGTATTTACCGTGTTTTTAAATAAAGATGATGACGATGATGATCATAGGACTCCTCCTACCCCCACACCCACCCACCTATCTCCCCCTGGAAGGTTTTTCTTGAAATGTTGAGGCGAACACATTCGGCCGATTTTCGATTTCAATTAAGCGATTCAAAAACGACATCTGCGCTACTATTTATACAGAATAACTGGATTCTCCAATGTTCAAATAAAATACATTAGCTACACATGTGAGAAGCATGGTACGTTACCGATTATCTTAGCCTGTGCCAGGCCCTCAAATAGTAGGGTCGTCGCGAAAATAAAACCAACACGCGCACGATCTGGGGATCAGGGGGCGATGGCTCTCTTTCTCCCCGCCCCCGCGCTTTTACTATAAATTGTGCTAGCATAATTTTTGGCATAATTCGTCTTTACCAGCAAAATTTTCATGTATTTCCCGAAAAAAGCACCGCTAGCATAATTTGCTTTTCTGGCTAGTTTTGTCGCGCAAAATTGTCATTTATTGATCATGCAACCAACTTTTTTTGACCCGAGATAAAGGGTTACGGCAAATTTAAGTAACAAAATCAATTTTTTTGGCTGCTTATTGTCGCATTTATGGGACCTGGGTCCCACAGGAAGTGGCCTTGGACCTTCCCACTGGACTCAACGCATGTGCATATCTGACTAGCTTGGTTATACAAGATGGCGTCCGTGTGCTGGTTTTTTTTTAGTTGAATTTTTATATCGGGGCTCCCTCGCGCGCGAAGCGCGCGTGGGACAGAGCCCCATACTCATAGAATATGGTCAACCTCTTTTCGTTTGGTTGTCACGTGACTGACCGAGCGTACGTACGTACGTACGCGTCTACAGATTGTACGGGTAGGGTAGGGGAGACTATCAAAAGGAAGGGAGGGGTGTCTCAGGTGTGTCTTGGCAAACCCACATCTTTTATATTGGCCATTCACAATATGGTCAATTGACAAAACAGGATAGCCGCTGACCAGTATCACAATGCCTCAAGGGCTCATGTGTCAAGTCGTCGAGGTGACGTGATTTATTTGGAAGCTGTCCGCTGACCCGTTGTTTTACTGGATCGCAATCAATGTTCAATCTCATACTTTCTAGCTAGTTTGAGAGCACAGGAAAACTGATAATGCACACATCCATTGGACATCATTGTTGTGATCAATTGACAGCTGTCAAAACAGGGTATCCTTTGACCTGCATCACTTGACCGTATCGCGGGCTCAGGTTTTGACCCATCGAGGTCGAGTATTTTTTGCAAGTTATCCGCTGACAAGTTACTAGTTTTCAAAATATGTTTTGTGTTTGTGACGCACAATTAAAATTTTGATTTAAAACTGACCTCGGACGCGAAAATTCAGCCAGCTATTACAGGCAGGTAAGGCAGGTGCTTTTGACTTTGCTCACCATGGTCACGCGTTGGTCACGCTCTACGTCCAATTTTTATGCTCTGATTGGTCAAAATTTGAAAGGTGAGCTCATGCGGAAAATTTATGCAGCATCTTGAATCTTGTTTACTTTGACAGCCGAAGCTGACAGAGTTTTGTATGAACTTGTGATGTTTTTAACTGTCTTTTTCCACTGGATGTACAAAATGAAATTCAGCTGCTATCAGGAGTCTTCTGTTATTCATGGCTAGTTGTTTTTTGGTTGAGAAATTAATACATTACTTTCGGATGGCATCGATTTCGCTTTTCACCTTGCTTGATGCGTAAGGGTTGAAAATTCTGAGGCGATACTGACCCTCCTTGATACCTTTCAGGAGCTGCATCTCGAATGGTAAGCCTCAGTAATTATTGTGTTTGATGTTTGTTTTTTATATCTAATTTAATGAAGTCGAGCGCAGTTTATGCGGCTATGTAGTTTACGCACGTTTGTAAGATTTGAGACAATGTGATATGACCAAGAATCAGGTTTGCAAAAACGCTTACAGAACTTTAAAAAGCCTTTAGACATTTTCTTACCGCAAATAGAAAGAAAAAGTTCCAAAGAACATTTAGTTATAATTCTGGCTGTAAAAGAAATTAAAGCTTTGAGCGATTTTCTTGCCTCGGGTTCATCTTTGAAAAAAGTACATACCGGAAAGCCGGCTTAAAACATAAACTTGAAGACTCAGGATTTTTAGAGACACTTTAATACTTGTCTTCGTGAATAAAAAATGTTCAAGCAGACTCTCAAGGTCACGTTTCGCATTATCACGAGCTTATGAGTCGAGTTTGGCCGGTCAACTCTTATTTCTAACCGGATATTATTTCATAATTCATGCGAAATAGAATACCCTGCCAGCGGGATGGTGGAACACGATTAGCGAAGGCGTTACGCAGACGTCCCTTTTCCGCGTGCAACAAAGGAAATAGGAGACGTCTGCACGCAGGCAAATTATGCTCTGGAGGAAAACGTTTTAACTGAGCAAATGTGATTTTTGCCGCTTATTTCATACTGAAAGGTCATGACACGCATATCAATTTTTTGCGGTTATTTTTTATGGTCGGCATAAACAAGCAGCATTTTGGCATGAGAAAAAGTCGTGCGTTGCCTACGCAATCAAGTTCTTCATGCGAAACAGCCGTGAAGAAAATTAGTATCTGGGTTTTCTTTTACTTGCAATAAATATCCCCCGCAATTTACCGATGACAATAGCAATGACAGCTCAATGCATGAGGGAAGGAATCCCATTGTATGCGCTTAATTGATTTGGAAGGGGATACGAACTTCACACTCCAAATAGGTCGGCCGTGAAGGGTCAAAAGCTTGGGTTTTGTCTGTAGTCCCTCAGTTTTCTTTCTCCCCGCCGCGTGTCGCCTTTTCTCGCGTGGGGTGATTTTCACGCGCTCTGGCGTTTCGCTCGCTCTACAGTCCCTGAGGAAAAATGGGGGACTACTCGTAGTCTATCCAAATAGCGATACCGCATATTTTAATCACATTTATAATCGGTTCCGGATACTTATGGTTGCTTCTATCTAGCGCGTTTAATTATCTCAGGCATTTATGCACCAGATGTCCATGCTACTGTGTTTTGTTTTGCGTAATGTGTCGAAAGGAAAGCGCAAATAAACGGTACCGTAATACCGTGAACAATCTTACTTCACCGAATACCGTCAGCCAAAATGATGAAAAACCGAATACCGCAGAGCTAGATGGTACCGCAATACCGCACGTTAAAAAAATACCGCATGAAAAAAAGCCCAATACCTCAATACCGTAAACCCACATGTCTCCCTCAAGAAGCGAAAACGTTTCCATCCTGTGTCAAATACGTTGTTGCTTCTTCTCTGGTACGCATTAACTAAATGATTGACAGCTTTGTTGTTTTAATCTGCTTTAGTCTCATGAAAATTTCCTTGGTTTCTCGAAATGAACTTTGAGGTGGCCCGAACCTATTTATATGCGCGTTGGTTATGTTTCTGAATCGCGTTTTTCGGCAGGGAAGATTTAACCGATTTCTATGATTTTTAGCATCCTTAATAAAGAATAGTCGAACTTTAAGAAAATGTTATTTATCTTCCTTTAGGTATAAAAAGGTTTGAGATATCGGTATATGTTTAAAACCGCATTTTGACAAAAAATGTCAATAATTTAGAAACCGTAAGATAGATTTTTTTTCTCTAACTTCAGCAAATAAGCCTTAGAGCTCTCTAGTTTTATATCTGCAAGTTTGAAGTCAATCGTGACCGTAGAACTCGCTGCACAAATAGCTGCTTAAATTCAACGTTGAATTGCAACGCTAACACATTGGTGGAAGTTGACGCACAAATAGAGGAAAAGTGTTGACGGACTATCTCCTATCTGAAAGGGTATTCTTTCCCAAAGCTTCAGTAGCAAGAAACGGGCGTATGGAAAAGCCGGAATCCGGAACCGGAAGCGGAGCCGGAAACGGAAACGGAACCGGAACCGGCACCGGAACCCGAACCTAAGAAATAAAAATTGGAGACGTTTCTGTGCTTAGAGTGTCACTAACAATAATTGCTCGAACGAGATTTTTAATCCCCACATTATATTTATTTATTGTTATTATATTTTTAACTGTCGCATTTTTTGCGTACGGCGCAAAATTTTTCTTCGAGAATTTCATATAAGCGTGAGCGTTGCAACTTGGGATCATGATTGACATGAGTACTCCTCCTCCCTTTGCCGTCTTTCCCTCACAATGGATGAAACACGGAGCCCTTTTAAGAAAAGGTACGGGTAAGAATATAAAAGTTTTCATTCTTTTCCGTTTTACTGAGTTTGAAAAAATGTCACCATTTTACAAAAACATATCTGTTTTCGTTTACAGATTGTGACAAAGCGACGAATCGATAGAAATATGAGTACGTGTGAAAATGTGAAGTTGTTGTGCCTTGAATTTATGCTCGAGTCTGCGGGGGAACAGCATGGGCTGATTCTTTGAGTATATCTTTGGTATCACGATCACCGTGCTGAAACTTTCTCAAAACAATGATAACAGAGGACTCCATCTTGAATTGTATTTCCACACGGGTATCGGGAAGGTTGTGCCTAAATCATACCGTCCAAAAGGACAGCCGAGGAGTACTAGGAACGAGTTTCCGATTCGGGCCGACTTCGGAAATTTTCTCGAAAACATTCAATATGCCGGCTTAGTCGTGGTGAAAACTGACAGCCAAAGGAGCCGTTTTATCGCCAGAGAAGCGTAATTTACATTATTGTTGACGAAGTTTGCGTTTATTGTGAGTTTTGAAGTGTTGTTGGTCCTGTATAGTAAGCAATCCTTTTATAAATGTCTTATCAATTTACCTTATCCCGCTGGCCGGTATTACCGAAGAAAATAGTACCGTATAAAGGGGCATCCTAAATTATAGCAACATTTTTTGGCATGTACATCACCTCTAACTTTCATTGTTAAACTGTGTTGTAGGACTGGATTTGCCCAGGTTTCTACTTCTTAGGATAACTCTATGGGAACCTTTTTATTCATAAAAGTGGCCTTGTCCTTTTGGCCGGTATTACCGAAGAAAATAGCGACTTTAAGATTAACTACGGCATAGCTCTACTACGGCTGTTGTAACCGGGAAGGGCTGGGGAAAAACTCCAAATGGTTAAGTTACGCTCGGTACGGCAACGTCAGAACCGACACAAAATGTAAACAAACTCGGACGACAGGACTAGTTTTCCCGTCCAGGTTTTGGTTGATTTCTCTTCACTGGTTTCGTTTAAAGAAATAACAGACCTTGCTGTGCTTTCTTATGGCATGAATTTTATAAATGATGCTGAATTTCTGTTGTTATATAATTCGTATAGCTCAGAAAACCTTTATTTACCATTTCATTTGTATCCCGAGTTCGACCTTAAAAATTTCAACGAAGATGAATGTCTGACAGAATTTCGTTTCAAGAAAGCTGACATCCCAAGGCTTGCACGGGCTTTACAAATCCCTGATTTTATAAGATGCTACCAAGGAACGATTGCGACGGGATTCAACATTTAGTCTAAATATGTCGGGATTGAACTAATATAAATGTCACACAACTTTAATACCTTTAAATTAGCGTTCGCTCGCTCTAGCGCCGGTAAATTATAAAAGTTTTATTCTCAAAGCCAAACAAGTTGTTAAGAACATCCCTGGCAGATACATCAAAAGATAAAAATATTTTTTAATAGGTACTCGTGAAATTAAGTCTTGACAATCACTTATTGAAACTAAAACTACTATAAGCTTAAATCTAAGCTCTGTTACGAGGCTTTCTTGTCTGCAACCATGATTATGAGGTATCCAAATCCTTGGAGTTTTCGCTTAAATAACGAAGCAATAATATCTGAGGAATATCTAAGTATGACTAAGTACTTAGTCTTTGAAGTAGGCTTCTCAGAAAAGCCGTACTCTTCACGTAGTGAAAAGTACGGCAAAGAAGGCAATTTGACACAGCAGAAAACGAGGCTACGGCGGGAAAGACGTACTGCAACTCGCGTGGTGACGTCACCGGAAGTGACGGGACAGCCTGAGTTTTACCAACATTTGTTAGGACGTATATCATATCTGGGTTTTTTATTGTGAAACGGTGCTGTATACAACTTGATTTCTGTAGGTTTCTACAAGCTTAGGATAACTGTATAGGAATATTTTTATTCATAAAAGTGGCCCTGTCCTTTTGGCCGGTATTACCGGAGAAAATGGTACCCGGTCCAGCGGGACATCCTGAGTTTTAGCAACATTTTTTAGGAGGTATATCATATCTGGGTTTTTACTGCTAAACGGTCATTCGTTAGGGTTTTAAAAGGCCAGGGTAACTAAACAGGAGGGTTTTTTTTTCTTAAAAAATGCCTTGCCCTTTTGGCCTGTATTATCTAAGGAAATAAGCAGGACAGAAGCAGAAGCAGGACATCCTAAACTATGTCAGCAGTTGCTTACATGTATTACTACATGACATGCAGCTTGTTATTGTTACATTGTAATACATCCCTTGCTCTCTGAAGGCTTTTTCCTACCAGCTGGGGACAGCTGAACAAATATAGTTTTATTCATTCCTTGTTGTTGTAATCACCTAAGAATGACAGCTAGAGGTGCCGTTTTATCGCCAGGGAAGCGTGATTTTACGGTATACTTTGCGATGTTTGTGATTCTCATGTTCTTTGAAAAATTCCTCATTGATCATATCAGCAGTCGATTATGTAAATGATTTCCTTTTATTCATGTTATACAGTTAGATCTATTATTATCATAAATATTATTGTTATTGCTGTTGTTGTTATTATTATTATTTATTATTGTTATAGAATCATTGTTATTTCCTGTCCTCATTATACGTGTGTTGTTTGACTAGTCAGTATCACTCAGTTGGTACAGTTGGCTGTACTCTCTGGCTGGCACTATCAAAACAAATCAAAATTCCCTTTTTTGTGACAACAACATTAATCTCACCCCACCCCCACCCCCTCTCCCCACCTTTCCATACTGAAATTGTGGTTCAATTTTATCCTTGGTCTAAATTTTATTTTGTTTTGTTTCAAACTCATTATCATACATTACCATACCCAAAAACCTACCTACCTTGGCAGCAACCAACCTTGGTTGTTGATTCTGGAGACTCTCTATTTTTAACTTCCCCCCTCTCCCCAACTGTCAACAGCCCCAATAACCCCACTACCGGTCGGAGAAATAAATCAAGTAAACAAGATCCTCGCGTTGCTTTGTGCTGCTCACTAGTGTTCATTTAAAAAAAAAATTGAAAAAAGAATTGAAAAAAAAAATTAAAAACTTTGAAGAGGAACCTAGGCTAAATAGACAGTACATTGTAACTGTCTACCAATATCATAACAAGAAACCTGTATGCTTTGTTCTTCGTTCACGGACCAAATTACAGAAACTCTTCAGTGACAAGTTCTGTTCAATTTCTACATTACAGATGTACCACAGCAATTAAACTCAACTGACTGTCGTGTCTTTGTCTGTATGGTAGGTTTTGCTATTTCATCACCTTTGCAATGAACATTATTAAATGGAAAGTCATTCATTATGCAATTCCATCAAAATAAATATGAACTTTTAAGTATTATCCTTTTAAACAATTTTCATACATCACTACAGTTACTGATCAGCTTACAGAGTACCTCAGCAGGGGGATAATGCCCAACTATAAGCAGGTATTAAAACGAGGCACCCAACGTCAATTTTCGGAAAATATCTGTTCGGAAGACGATTTGAGATCTAGAATTTTCGGAACTTTTGTTGCAAAATTTCTTGCTTGCCTGCCATTTTTTAACGGGTTTTCACCCTAAAAAGGTCACCTAGAATTTTCAGGAACCTTTTTCTGGCTGAAATGTTCGAAAATGTAAGTTTTGATCCCTATAATTTTCAGATCACTGGACTTTCAGCTAGGAAATCCGAACAGATGAAAAAATTTGGGGGGGATAAAAATATGCCTACATCTACCGTTTAAATACTAAAATACGTTCAACAATGCTACGTTTAAGTGGTTTTGAACTATATTCACGTTGGGTGCTCCTGTTAAAAGTTCAGACGCTAGACAATTTTTAAAACTAAAAACCACTCCTGTTTGGTTATCCTTGGATTTCAAATGTTAAACCAGAAAAAGGGTTTTGCACTTCCCCATCTGATTACAACAACAAGGAATGAATTAAACTATCTTTGTTCAGCTGTCCCCAGCTGGTAGGAAAAAGCCTTCAGAGGGCAAGGTATGTATTACAATTTAACAATAACAAACTGCATGTCATGTAGTAATACATGCAAGCAACTGCTGACATAGTTTAGGATGTCCTGCTAGGCGGTACTATTTCCTTGGATAATACAGGCCAAAAGCACAAGGCAAATTTACGAGAAAAAAAACACTCCTGTTTAGTTACCCTGGCCTTTTGGAAACCTAAAGAATGACCGTTTAGCAATAAAAAACCTAGATATGATATGCCTCCTAACAAATTTGCTAAAACTCAGGATGTCCCGCTGGACGGTACCATTTTCTCCGGTAATACTGGCCAAAAGGACAGGGCCACTTTTATGAATAAAAATATTTTTGTACAGTTATCCTAAGCTTTCTCGATCAAATCTCCAAGCAAGAGAGACTCGATGTAAGCGCGTTCTTGTCTTTTATCAAATCATGGCATGACGTTAAGGTCTCTAAATAAAGGCCCTTAGGGGGTGTCTCATTTTTGTTTAGGATTACTCTGGCGCATCGTTTCTGTAAATTGATTACGTCTTGGACGTGCGGCTTCGGTTTGCTTCTTGTCCCCAAGACAATACCGTGTAGCATGAAAATTTTGCGGGTTTTAATTTTTGCGAATTATTGACCTCGATCCGCAAAAATTAGTCAACGTAGAAAAAAAAAACGCAAAATAAAACGCCGCAAAAATTAACTCCATTCAGTCAAATTAAAAACTCTGCTTTTAATGGACTTGTTGTGTATGGTTGGGATAGGCTTTTGTTTTGTTTTGCTGTTGTTCAGTCCCTTTGCGCAGTAAGATATTACAGTGCTTACCGTATTATTCTCCATAACCAGATCAAGCGTACCCCCCAAGATCCATTAATGAATTTATTATTCAAAAGTTGAATCCGTTGCTAGTTGTAGATTTCAGATTGATCTCTGCATTCTTGTATGTGTAATGAGCCGTGAATTCACACACGAGGCAGTTATGAAATTTCTAGCAGCTCCATTTTCCTGAAATTGATGTAAATGTCTTCTAAGAAGCTTAATCCATTCAAAGATTTCCAATCTGACCAAATACAGAGAAGTTCTCGTAAAATATTCACTGCTCATTACGCATGCAGAAATGCCGCTTTGAACTTGTCACCAGTTACGGGAACGACTAACGGAGTCATTTTTCAAATAATCAATTCACTGATAGAATCTTGGGGGTTACGCTTGACTTGGTTTGACTGTAAATATGTAAGTAGAGTGAACTTTGACTCAACATACCGTAAAATAAAAGTTGAAAATACTATATTAAGGTTTCTTCCACTTAAATATTGTTGGTTTTCACATGAAGTCACTAAAATTCAAACTAAAAAACTATCGATCCTACCGAGATTTTACTTTCACGATGCGTTAGAACAGCTGAAAACTAATTTTCATACAAATTTTCGCTTCAAAAGGGTTCTTGGTTTTGTGACAGAGTACACTTGAATTTCTAAGCTTTTGCGTGACGCGGCATTTACATGACGGCCGAGAGAGCTGTCATATAGGTTAAAAAATGACTTATTTCAGGAAATTTTGCTATCTAAACAGTTCATGTATTAGAAAAAGTATTACTTTCATGTTTATGAGTTTTTCGAATAAATTTACGCTTTTGTAGCAAAACTCGGTATAGATGTTTCTGATGGTTTCCGTTTGCCATGTTGGAGGTCATCCAGGTGAGCACCAGAATGGCGTCTCCTTACAAATGTCTATCAGTCTGGGTAAAACATTTCTTCGGATATTTCGTATAGGGTCTTTGTATATGTACCTCCTTTCATTTCCCAGATTCTGGACGTTATATATAGAACGGTTTTGATTTTATTTTCATCAATTTTGAATGGCGTGATACTGAAAACCAGCAATTCTGCTACTTGAACAGAGAATCGCAAAAATTAGTTCCCACCAGAAATTTCAGTCATCTCGAACCGCAAAAATTTGTTCCCGCAAACCACAAAAAATCGCCAATCCGCAAAATAAAACTCCCGCAAAATTTTCATGCTACACGGTAACCCGCGTAGTCGAGTATTAGCTGGATAAGTGAGTTGTAAAACAAACTTCTCAGCTTTCGGTCACAAAAATTTATCTGTTCTTTTCAAAAGGCGAAGTCGCTTTCCTATATTCGATACCGTTATTTGTATAGTAATAGCATGATTTGTAGTGATATTTGACATAAATACCACGAGTGATATTTCGAAATTGTTCTACGTAATTTCACGAGCCATTAGGCGAGTGAAATTTGAGACAATTTTGAAATATCACGTACAAATCCTGCTATTATTTGTTTATACTACTACCCGAAAAAGGTTTGTAATTTTCACATGTAGGTATTTCAAATTAAGCTGAAATACTACTGCTCTAAGCCAATCAGATTGCAGAAATTTCTCATGTAGTAGTATAAACAGTGAAACCGGTTGTTCGTTTGCGTGCCACTTTGTAATATTGTCACGCAATGTTGGTATTTTGATTGGCAGTTTGCTCCAAGCAAGTTGCGATTCAAATTTCAATTTTCACGGACAACCAGTTGCGCTTAATGCTAAGAAATCGAAGTGTTGAATTAAGTTTTCAACCCCCTTATAGTCCTGAGTTTAATTCTTGTGAGTTTTGTTTTAGGTCGATGAAGGCATATTTGAGACAACACGAACAGTTTTCAATTAACTTCACAGAGCTTGCGATTATTCAAGGTTTGCAAAGAATCACGCCAGCTATTTCGCAGAACATTTTCAGTCATTGTGGATTTGTCATTTAAAAGTTACTTTCTGTCCAAAGCCTCGCGAATTCCACACAATGGAGAGTTATTATGTCGTAAATTTATAGTATAAAAATAAAGTTCATAATTGTTTTGAACGGGTTCAAATACCGGACAGTCGGAACGTATACACAAACACCTTTTTTAGACAAAGGAATGCAACGTGTAAATTGGCTGCCACCAAGGACTATCGTGGGGCGTGTGTTTCTTAAAATTATATTTCGGGGTTGTCCAATTATCCATAGTCTCTCTAACGGACCAATGTTGGAGAGACTGGAGAATACTACATTATGATGCAACAGCTAATGCAAATACAATACACGAATAGGTCTATTTGTTTTCCAGGCCTAATCTACTGTGATCGAACATGATTGCTATTTTTGGGCGTACAAATAAGACCAATAACTCGATGTAAAATTTGTTTCACTCTTGGACTGTCAAATTATTTTTCTCTAAAATCACTTAGCCTTTGCCTCAAAATATCACACGAATGTGAACTGATCTCTGGATTACAAGTTTATTGTTTGATTTAAATTATGAATTTATTAACGGGAGCTTCGCTTTTAGCCCTGGCTAAATCTATATATTATCGTGTCAGAGGATTATAGTTTTTGTTTGATATTAGTCAAAAGTAAATCAACTGCGGTAAAGAAACAGTCCAGTTCAGAACATCAGGTTAAATTTTCAAAGCTACTCCTGGCGTTGTTTACCATTGGTCACCCAGTGAAGGCCCTTACATAATGGAGACCGCAAGGAAAGGGTGGGCGGTTTTGAGTATTTTTAGAGTCGGGGGTATTCATTTTTAGTGCCTATTAAAAGCCATCTGTGCATGATTTAAAAAAAGCCATCGTTTATGATTTTTCCAAAAAACTGCTATCATTAAATAGTTTGGAAATGAATAAACTGACGATGAATGGCGAGATTTAGAATTTTAGACCAGATGTCACATTCCCATGTTCAGTTTAGAAAAAGACACGTCATTCATGTTCACTGAACTGGGAATGGATCCGAATGACGCAGGTGTTTTGTAGGAATAAACTTCCTTCGTGGAAACAATCATACCGCTGGGCCGAAAAGTCCCAAATAAACATTACTGAACGACTTGCCATTTCATTGACTTATTCTAGTTTGGGCTTTAAACTAGGGTTTTTCCTACTTATAATTCTGAATAGATTAGCATCTGTTCGGGAGCAGTCACCTGAGTTTGACTTTTGGGAGCCAGTTGCATAAATCTCAAACGTGAGACACACCTGCTAATCCGTATTTCAAAAAGTACTAATTATTAGCTACAAATGCTATAATTTTTTCACCACTCTTATATAATTCTATCTCGTTCGAAATGCGCATACTTCTTCAGTTTTCAAAGAACTGACAAAAGTAAATAGAAATAATTTCTATTCTGTTGAAAAACGACTCATCTTTTCCACAACTTTAACCCGAGCCTTTGATACGCCGATGGAATGCAGACGAAAGCGGGTTTAAAGCGATCAAAGAAGGACTAAATTCCCTCCAACTACTAGAAAATATAGCGGGAAGCGGCCAGAGAAGTCAGAGAAAGCGTTTCGTCGTGCGGACGCTTAGTGATGCTAGCTCTTTGAATATATTTAGAAAGATTCTCAGGCTATCGTTGACACAGAGCGCGTATGGTCAAGTTCGCCTCACGCGTCGACTGGGATTCCACGGGTCTCGTACACGTGCTTCTACGCTCGGCCTAAATCTGTCCACTACTCGAGTTAAACTTCGAGTTTGTCTGTTCAGATTATTCACAGTTTTCCAGCGTAACTTCTATGCAGCATTCGCTGGGCTGGGACACTCCTGAAGTCCGTCGACATCTAAACGCCGCTACCATAATGTATAAAGCTGTGCACAACCGGACTCACTTAACATTTCCAGCAACTGTCACCATAGCTAATAGAAGCAATCGCTCTAAATATCCTCATAAGTTCAGACATATCTTTGCTCGCACCAATGGATATAAAGTTTTCCTTTTTCCCACTTCTTATCCCCCTTTGGAATGGCCTTCCCAATTCTGCTGTTGATGCTGAGTCTGTTACTGACTTCCAAGCGAATGCTTTGCCATCCATAAGACAATATTGCAATGCAATGTAAATATTTATTTGTTGTAAATAACTTAATTTATCTTTTTTTGCCCCCTTTTCTATTCGTCGCTGACTGTTTTAGCATCAGATGACTTCTAGGATTAATAAAAATGTATGTGTATGTATGTGTTTCGCCTGTTAAAGTCCAGAAATTTTCGGGGTGAAAGAGTTCCAAATGCTTTGCTCTCTAGTAAGCCAACGGTTGCCGTTATAATGCTACCGTAAAATACAATGAGTTGGTACTACCAATCGTGCGTACATTTAAATTTTTTAAGTTAGTTGATGCATCCAGCCAGAACATTTATTGGCGTTGGAGGTGGTGGAGCAAAACTGACGAGTAATATTCGCAGACACTCAAATATAAAGGCGCGAAAGAAAAAAACAACCGTCGGCGCAGGTGGAATCATCATGTATCAAATTTTAGTCCACTAATTTTTGAGTGTAGTTTAAGTTAATGCAGGCGAGTCCGGTGAATATTAATGAATGTTAAAGACTTTATTCGAAAAATGCTTATGCGCCGCAGTCAATGAAGCACAGAGGCCTGTGAAAAACAGAGGATGCAGAAAAAATCTATGACATAATTTTAGAAACATATGAGCTCTACTAGTAGCATATTATGCTACTTTTTCCGAGAACAAGCTATCAAAGAAATGCACGACTACAGTACTACCTTGGAGCCTGGAACAGGCTACGATTATCCCGGCGTATGTAGTTAATCGAATCAGTACGACCGTGCGGTTATCGAACTTAATGGAATGATTCAGTTTTGGAAGCAAGGACCAACGTTACAAAATAGACGAAGCGGATCCGGATTAGGAATATATATAATATAAATATATAATAATGTAGTCGAAGAGCTGGATTATGTGGTCCAAGACATTTAATTGCTACTCAGAGTTTCATGCTTCATCGGAGGCTAGCAGTTCAAGACCGAAGACACTAACAGTTTCATCTCTCATTTCGATCTCGTGCGATCAACATTCTATGCTTGAGCATCTACAAACGTCAGCATTAATTTTCATCGCTTAAAGCATAAACATTCATCCTAACCCGGTCCTAATGCCTTATATATTTTAAAGGACTTCACAAACCCAGAACAACGAGAACTTTTCATCACAGTAAAACGACTAAAACTAAACTAACCTGTTACGAACATCTCAAATTAACAAAATCAAGAGAGAATATTAATCTGTCTTGTGTAAACCAAACATTGAGTCAACCTACAGTGAACGTACAGTTCCACAAACAAATAATGGACAAGACTTCCTTAATTCGAATGTCAAAAGCAGTTGAAACTATTAAAATCTGACTATAATTACACACTCGATCACCTACAATCTTCATGCCCTGCTTCTACAATGACAATATTAAACATTTCCCGGCTTAGGAGTTTCGCTAATCCCAGTATTTATTCTGCCCATCTCACAGGCTCGACGTGATAGAAAACAACCTTCAAATGGTGAGTATGCTTCTCGCGCAGCTATTCGAAAGCGCTTCAACACAATTTTAACGTAACTCATACCTCTAACCGTCCACAATAATCAGTCACTGTGAACATTTCATATAATCACGATTACGACAATTTTATTAGTACCAGTGTCAATCACTCCAAATCCGAGACGCTCACGTAAACGTACTATTATAAGAGTTAGTTGGGATAGTATGAGCTGTAGACGTTAGGAAGATCCAAGACGTAAGAAGTAGACACTCGTTACCTTCTCGGGTAGCGAGCGAGACGCTCGAACTACCCACAAAAGGGAGCTTTATCAAACGGTTAACACGCTTATTTAATCCAAGGTATTTCTAGAACAGACTTAGCCTCTGGAGCAAAGGTAAACCCGAAACTGAATCCAACTTGAAAGCTACTCGAAAATCCAACTCGAATGCTAAATTCCCAACGTGCGAGAATAGTGGTTCTACATTTCAGAATTTCCTTTACTCTAACCGCTTAACCGGCGAGGAAAATTAAATTTAGTTGAATTTAAAGGTACCTTTTAGTGGCTTACCCTGTCTTACCTACCTTTTTCGTCTAGATGTTGATATTTTTCTTTAGAACAACAACTTATAATGCAAGACTGCAGCTGTACTTTGTTTTTACTTGATGAGTTGGAAGATTTGAAACATGTTATGCCTACATTAAAACAAGGCAGATGTTCTTTATAGGGTTCGTCACGCGTTCCTGCCCCACAACCACAGCGGAGACATGTGTTTATTTAGTCGTTTTGACCAATTAACTCATAACAGGCCAGAGCCCCGATTTTAGTGCGCGCAGGAGGAGGCCTAATCTCCACAGCAACCACCGCAGATCGGTTTCCAATAACAGACAATCGTTACTTTCGTAATTAGTTTTAAGCATTCCTCCAGACACCTTTGAAGAGCGCCGGACACGTTGCCTGTCTAGGAACTTTGTACTTCTGATTAAATGAACCAGACATCTCAAGGAAACGCGAAATTTGATCAGACTATTTGGGATTATAAATTCATTTCACGGTCGAAGTCGACCTTCGCGGCTGGCTTCGCAATTGATAACTACAGTTTTCTCGCCGCATTTGGATTCAAATAGGCTTGATACGCTTTCAGTGGCTTTTCAAGTGCTCTCTTTTAAGAAAATAGTGCTCCCACGGCTTATTTAACTTCTTTCAAGAGTAGTATGCCGTGTCAACATTGGAGACCTTCCAAGCGAAAACGGCGAGTCGGCGTATCAAGTTTTTACTGTGGAGCCACATGTTGGAATACACTCTCTGCTGGCACATCTTTCTCTGGTTTGGAAGGAACTCTGCGTGGAAAAGACCCTGACCAAAGAAATTTTTAAATCTTCTCTATTTGAACGTTTGAGAAAAGCCGTCAACAATGCACATTTTATAGTTGCCGGTGTAAACGAATACGAGAGCTCGAGCTCTACTTCACATCTCCTTGAGGAACAGGAGCAAGACCGATTATCTAATTCAATGGACGACCTTTTTTATCAAACGGCGAAGGATTAAAGTCTTTTTTCTCTGGCTTAAGACGATGTAAGCGTCGATGTGCCTCCAGTGACAAATCACTCTCCAAAAAGCCCGCCAAGCACTGTCGAAATCCCACCAAAATCTTATTCGCTGGCAAGAGCCCAAGACGCTGGATTACTCCAGATATTCTAGCTTCCACTTCAACATCTTCGCGTTCGCTTGGGCGATCTGTATGATCAGCGTCACAGATACAGTATGGTTCTATATCAGTCATTTTAGCCTCCTTGAAATGTCAATCATAATCCAAAAATTGGTATTACAGGTTACATTTGTATTGTTACTTGTTTTTTACTTAATAGGCCAAATTATAGGGCTACCCTCCAAGATTCTGAGGTGATGGTATTCTCTCTTTTAAAATGTCGGTCATTTATCCAAATTATTATTGTAGGTTATTTTTGTAGTGTCATTTTTTTTTTTGAATAGGCCAAATTATGGGGCTTCCCTCTCCCTCAGAGCTTACAGGCGGCGCGCCCAAGATTCTGAGGTAATGGTTGTCTCTCTTTTAAACTGTCCGTCGTCAACAACAGTATTATTGAATTTTCATTTTCCAGAGTTCATAGTAGTACCTTCTTTATAGTTTTACGTGATTTGTGGCAAAGACAAGACCAGGCTAACAAATTTATTCTAGTTTTTGCGTGGTGCGACAATCACCGTGGCTGACTGGCCTCCAAAGTTCCTTTATAATTTGGACGCTTCTCAGGAGTTTCTTCACGGCTTGTAATCCAGAATTGGCGATTCTCAACAGCTTGAAGCTCTTGCATTGCATCAGTTGTTCCTTGGACGGCGACCTTTTCTTGTCCCGAGTACAATATCGATTCTCGATTCTCGACTCTCGATTACCGTATCTTGCTCGTGCAAGGTTTCGGCAACGGGACCAGTACTAACACCATTGCAGGAAAACTGTTTGGTAGAAGAAGAGTAAAATGTTGGCTTCGGCGCGTTACCTGTCTGATGCTCGGTATATCACTGCCAAACTGCGCAACAGAATGCGCGAAAAACCCTCCGGTACTTGAAAAAAACGAAGAAAACCTGAGCGATATAATTTAGTAACTTATTCATGGTGTTCAGCTTCCGGTTTATTCAGCTTATTGCCAGTTGTAGGCAAAGTTCACGCGCACATTATCGCACTCTAACTGGGTTGATTGTGAGGAAACTCTTATGTCAGTCATTGACTAAAAACCCCCCCGCGTTAAGCCTTTATGCGACGGACGTCCCTTAGAAATATAAGTTACCCACACTGATCGCCAATTCTACTTGCAAAGTGTTGCGGATTGAGTTGTGTAATGTATTCTAGAGTGTAAGTTTAGTAGTAGCCTCGCAGACAAGGATGCAATGAGACATTTATTTGCGTAGTTAGGCCTACTATCCATTGGGCAAGCATCCCTTTTATTTTCTTTCGATAGCCTGTCCATGCACTAACCTTTGGATACAGAAACTAGCTGCCTCTCGCTGTACCAAAACTTGATAGTTTTGGCGTTCAATATTCTTAACGGGTGCTCACAGAACACCGGGACTGCATCGTGCGCCTTTGGCGCTTTGGTACCCTGCAAGCTTTGGTTCATCGCGTTTTGAAAGATGGAAATTTTGATATTCCCGCGTAAAAGAAGACCGATAAAACGTGTCTTCCATTGAAATACAGTGAAACGCCCGGAAATGAAGAGTGTTTTGAAAGAAACGGGAAAACTGATAAAAGTAAATATTTTTTGTGATAAGTGAAATTAATGAGAAATAACCATAAACTAGTTTTGTTGTTTTGTTTTTTAAAAGCGGTTTGTCTGGTACCAGATTTGTACAATTACTTTCAATCAAACATGGATCGGGTTTTGTTAATTATGACAGAATGTAATTAAAAAGCATTATGTTGACAGCTACAAGGCACATGCTTGCCTTAAGCTGCGAGTATCCCGCCATGTTTTAAACAAAGGGCCTCTAACCAAGCCGGCATTCTAATCCGCCACAAATATGTGAAGCACGCGTCTT